ATTGGTTGTAAAAATGTCGAAAGAATTTACTTAATTTTTAAAAGATGTGGCCGAAAAATTGATAGAAACTCAAAATTGCAAAGGTAGTACTGAAATAATAATTAATAATTTTATTAATAATCATTAGTCAATTTCAAACATTTCCTTAAATTTTGCTATTATTTCAACCAACAGAGAAAGTGGTCCTTTAGCTTGCTGTATTTAAATTAAAAATATTTTCTCTCTTGTTAGTCAGTTGTCCCATTTTCATTCCCAGTGTCTATAATGGAATTTTTTTTTATTCGATTTTAAGGAGAAGTAAAAATTATTATTTTTTACATTCCAATATTTTAAAATTTAATTAAAATACTTATTAATTCAATTTTTTCACTTCAAATTTAATTTAATTTCTGATTTAACAAGGTACATAGTTTTATTTAGTATAGCAACAATTAATTGCCACCTCACTTATTCTCAAAACTTAAAAACTATACATACGATAATAACAGAATCAATTTTAAAAAATTGAATTTGAATTTCAGATTCTGAACCCTAAAAGGTTATTATCATATTTTCGTTTTGAATTTTTTTTTCGGAAATCTGTTAAAAATATCGAGATGGTAAATTAATATTTGAATTATAAATTGTAACAAGTACCATTGGAAAAACTATGCAATTAATTTTTAATTATATCTAAAATTTTTACAAAATTAATATTAAAAAAATTAAAAACAAATTGTTTTCAATTTCAAGGATTTTCCTTCCACTTAAATTAGAAAAGGCTTCCATTCCTTTTTTAATTGTTTATATTTATTTTTAATTTAAATCTCAATTAAAACATTATAATTCTTGGAATACAAAAAATTATAAACAAAATGAATACCGTTAAAATGTTTAAAAGAAATCGAATAATTTTGTTTTTTCATATTTTTGGGATATTGCCATATATTGAAATTTTCGGATACGAAAATAAGGCAACAATTTTGTGTATTAGATAAAATAAATGAGCAAACCCAAATCCACCATTTGCTTTGCTTAAAAAAATAAATTTACAAGACTTATAATTCAAGCACTACTATTCTTAACAAAAAATTACAAATGTTTTAGACATATCAAAAATTTGAAATAAGAGAATCTGAAATTATAAATTTCATCAAATTTATGATGAAAGCATTTATGATGAAACAATAGAGAAAATTAGATTCAGTTAGAATGAAATTGAAGTAGTTTCTTTCAATAAGTTATGTTAGTGGTAATCCAATATATGAATCGGCAAAAATAATAGCAACATTTTATTTGTGAAGGCAAAATGCATTTACGAGTTACGTATGTATATGTATATAACTTATTAAATACTAAACTTCTCAAACAAAACGTTTTTTAGAAACTTTTATAAGGAGCAAGTTTTTTCTATATTCATATTTCGGTACATACCTTTTACAGCATTTATTGTAAATCGCCAACAGTCAAAGCTGTCATCGCATTTGGTAGACATAGTATTGAGAAAAGTACAACTTCTTATTTGTAAAATTTATCTTTCCATTAAATATTACTTGAACATTATAACCGCAAGTTTAGCTGTAAAATAAGTCCTTTACATTTATATATGTGCATATTAAAGTTTCAACGTAGATAGAACGTGGTGCGAATTATGCAATAATTCTTTTATTGAAAATAGTTAAAATACGAATTTAGTTTATTGCGTTTTTTTATTACAATATGAACTTCAATTGTTGCAAATTTATTTTTTGCCTGGTATTAACTCTTTTATGTCTACATCACATACAAAAACTTATTTTCAAAGCTGCTGGTTTGCTAAAGTTTAATATAATTTTTTCAATTGAATTTATCGTTGTAAAATAATCATAGTGTGTAATTTATCATTTTTCGAAGCTGTGCTCCTCCAAATTTGAAAATACCTTGGAGTAACAAAAGGGTTAATACTTAAACGAGCATTAAATTAAAAATATTTAATTGCAAAGCACTTGTATACTCGTAAAATGTGTTAGGTAAATATTTGCCATTATCTATTTTCCACATATTAGTAAATAAAAATAGTTGGGTGAATTTATTTTGCTCACTTTAATATTTGCCCACTAAAAATTCTGTAAAACAGTGTTAATTAATTAAAAATTTTGAAAAACCAAAATCTCTTTGCTCTTTTGTTTGTTTTTTGTATTAATTTTTTTTTATTTTTCTTTGCTTTAGCTTTAATGTAAAATCAAAATAACAATTGTAATACAACCAGTAACAATTGTTTAAATTTTTTGGATTAAAAAAAATTTGTGGAAAAAAAAAATTTTAAGTACAGGCAAAAATTTCAATTAAAAGGAGGTTTTGTACTTGCTCAGGAAGAAAAAATTATTTTTTATAAAAAAATATTGAGATAAAAAAGCAAATTTGAAAAAAAAGTAAAATTTGCATCAAAAGAATTAAAAAAGTAGCAGAAATGTAAGCATTGCTTTTTTTACGTAATGAGTTTGTGTTACCCTTTAATAATTATGAATGTTAATTATATTCATTCAAGGATTTCTTTTTATGGTCAGGAATACTTTTATTTGCCCATACTCAAAAAATAAAGTTAATAGAACCCAAACACAAAACGTAATAATGAAAAATTTGTTTACAGCGAATGTTGTACTTAACACTGGAAAACGCAGCTCTATTAAAAACTTATTCCTCAGTTGACGGAGTAAAATTTAAGAAAACCCAGCTACTCCATCCTGGCAACTCAAAAATTGTATAGAAGATAGAATATTTTCTAAAATTTTTAAAGTATTAGTATGACTGGCAGTGTAACTATGTTTTTCTAATTATGAAAATATTCATCTAATACAATTTTTCAATTCATAGAGGAGGCTATTGCAGCAAAAAATATTTATTAATAAATGGCTATTTCTGACCTTTAAATAAATTTCTTGATACGTAATCATTAGCATACATCTGCCACTATAGTGTATCAAGATTTTAATAAAATAGGATCGATATAGGGTCTCCTCTATTTTTAAGTATTTATAATATTATTTTAAAATCTTACTAACATTAGTAAGGTTAAAGTTTTCGTTATACTTCACAAGTTTACGAAATGGTCAAAATTCTGAAGTCTAAATGTTTCAACAACCCAACTTAAATATACTCGTACAATATAAAATTTCTATTTTTAGCATTTTTCCAAAAAAAGTGCTTAATAGTTTCACTCTGTCCGTTCATCCGTCCGTCCGTGGACGCGTTTACAAAACTTCTACATGCTTGAAGGTATAGAGAAGATAGAAACTTATTTCCGTAACTCCGTATTTTTAATTATCTCTTCCTTCTAAAAGTTATAGCCCTTCAAAGACCTAAAAATGCCATTTTTTAACTTCTTATTTCAAAGAAACCATAAGCATTTTTCAAATTTCGATAAAAATTTATTTTTTTCATTGTAAAAAGGTAGTGTCGGGCTTTTTCTACCGCAGTACAACATAATTTAATATTACAAAAGTAAAATGACTGCTAAAACTAACCGTTAACTAAAACCCGCACTTTCTTCGAAGTTTTTATATAGTTTTTCTTCTAAACCGTAAGTTGTAGGGGTCTGAAATTTTAGCAACTTTTAGATATTACTAAATAATTAATTTCATGTTATTCCTTTTCCATTTTTTTCATGACTCTTTCAATTTTATTTTGGCCTCATCCGAAATATATGCAATCTTTTTAAATATGTCAGTATATGAATGAAATTAATTTAAGTACAGTGCTTTTAATTAGAATGTTAATAACTAGATTTTATGTCCACTTGTTGAAGGGAAAAGGACTAGTGTACAAACCATTGGTCTCACCTATCTTAATTTTTTCTTGCTGCAATGAAAACAAATAAAATTTATTTATCAGTTTATCTTTTAACAATTGGACACTATTTTGTACTATAAGCAATTCAAAAGGCAATAATATTTCAGTTAAAAATGAAAGTCCATTATCTTTAATTTTTTTTTGACTTTAAGCAAAGTTAAACCATAATAATAATACTTTATCGTAAGAAAAATAAATATATATTTATGAGTGTAAAAAAGTGTTTTATACGGGTATATTAAACATTAAATAAAAAAAAAATGAAAAGTGCGAAATACCCAAAAGGAATATAAAAGTTAAAATGTTAAACCCATAAAAAATTCGTATTCAAATTTATGCTTTAAAGAAAAGAGGGTATAAAAATTAAAAATGAAGTTTTATTTATAAGTAGATAAATGAGAATAAAAAAAAAGACTCAAAAAAATTGAAAAGATAATTATTATTAACTTTTATACTCTTCATTATCCCATCGTCATTAACATGAAATCGGACATTGTCATCATTAATTTTAAAAAATCATTACCCTCTTTAAAAATTCCTTTTCTTTAAATTTTATCCATTATTTTATTATTATTTTTTGAAATGTAAAATTATCTACATTTTATTGGAATATGATTTTTACTGCATCTTTAACAATTAAAATAATTTTTACCATTTTTCAGAAATTAATTTAAAACTTTATTTTATTAAGAAGTCTTATAAGAGAACGCATGCTGTAGGTATGTACTTACAAGGATTATATCTATAGTAAAGAGTGTTATAAAGAACTACCTGTTAATATAGAAAACACAAGTAGTATAATAAAAACTAACTTTTATATACATATATCTTTGTATATAAATATTGTGATCGTTGAATAAGTACTCCTCAATTAATTCTTTCTCATAAACTGTTCTAAATAGTCAGAAATCGATAATATTGCCGTACATGTCTATATTCCCAGAAAGAAAGCTGTCTTTATGTACATGTTTATTGTGTTATGTACATTTTTACAGGACGAAATGAAATAAAATATTTTTAACGTTTATAATAATTATTTTTAATTATGTTTTGTACATAGTAAATAAGGCAGGAGAAGTTTTTTTATAAATACTCTCGTAATATGAATATTATATAACATGGTGTTAAACTACATTTTTTATTTAATTTATGTATGTATGTTTACAAATAACAAAATAAAATTAAAATTATAGGTAGACATACTTGATACATCGGGTGATATGCAATTTCCTGCAATGCGACGATTATCAATAGCTACAGCACATGCATTTCTATTAGTTTATGCAACAACATCAGCCCAAAGTTTTCTTAGTGTTAAGCAATGTTTTGAAGAGATACGAGAGCAACGAGCTGATTTTCAAGTAAGATTATTTTTTTTTTTACGTATATACATTTTTTATTTTAACTATAACATTTAATTTTATTTCTTGTATTTATGGTTTTTAATTTTGTAACAGAAAATCATTCTTATTATTCTTCTCTTACATAAATCATAGTAAATTTATGTCCTTTTTCCGTTGGTCAAACAAAATAAAATACAAAGTGAAATACGATAACGTGTCAGGATATTTAGATTTTTTTTTTTTCAAACATTTAAAAAAATTTACATTCATGTAAAACAAAAAATAAAATATTTAAACTAATTGCCATTAAGTTTTTAAAAAAATGCTTAGCAATCTTTTTTTTAATTGTTTTTAAAAAAAAATTGTTTAGATAAATGAAATGCTCTGTTTTATTTTAATTCATAACAAAAAATTTTAAAAATCTCAAAATTTATTTTATAATTTTTATATTTTTTGTACCCTCGAAAGGATATTCCAATCGTAATAGCTGGTAATAAATCAGATTTGGCGCAAACACATAGAGAAGTTAAATTAGAAGAAGTTTCTGATTGGGTTTATTGTGAATTGCCGAAATTAAGGTAAGTTTTATTTATTTGTATACACAATGTGAATTTTTTTTATAATAAAGTGCATGTGGTTCTTCTTCCTCTTAAAATTTTCAAAGTATGTGTATAAAATATGACAACAAATTTTTCTAAACTAAAAGCACATTACATTTTGGTATGTAAATTTCTAAAAGCAATTTTTAATATTAATTCCTAATAAAAGAATTTTCAAAAAAAGGTCTAAAATAAATAGATCAGATGAACACAGAAAGCATAATAGATTCTATTAACACAATATCTTGTAAAATACAAAGAGTTTCAGACCCTATGAAACATTGTTAGAATTTTACGCAAATGAAATTTTTGTAAGAATTTGAAGAAATTTACATAACATTTCAATTTCTACTGCCGTTGTTTTGCTCAAATGAGTATCTTTCACAATAAATTAAAAATTTTATTATGAATTTAAACCTTTAATGAACAATATCGAAACCGTAATACACGTATCAAAATTTTCCAAGAACAACTAAAAATTTTTAATTATTATTAACGTTTATTTTATCATTTTTGCTATATACTTTTTGTTCACATATTAATAATTGAATGAGATTTAAATATAAAAGGATACAGATTCATTTTACAATGAAATTTCCGTCATTTCCGTTTAATTTAATTCTATTGAATGAAATTATATCCGAAATCATTAAAATTATTGAATTCTCTTAAATAATAATGAATAATTTATAAGAAAAAAAAATAGTTTACAAATATACATATTCATTTTATTGTATAGTTTTAATTTTTTATTTAATTGAAGGAGAGGTAAATAAATTTGCAATAACTAAAGAGTATGTATATAAAAAAATTTAATGAGTATTAATACATTAAATGTAATCGAATATGAAAATCCCCTGTTCTACTTTCACTTTTAGTCGAATTAAAAAAAATTGTTTATCCTTTAAAACCAGTGCTTAAAATACATTACCAAGCCCATTCCCAGCTCGGCCCATTTTCTTTTATTGCTCCTAAAAAATCGAACAATTAATTTCGTTTGGTTTATTTGATCCACGTTAAGACACAAGCTAATTTGAGAATACAGTTTTGTAAAATATTTCCCATAAATTTAAAAAAAATTTTATTTATATTGTTCAGATGAATTCTTAAAATGTCCTTGATTTATTTGTTATTCATAAATTAATCAGACTTTTTGTAAAAGCTCTTCCTTTAGAACAACACCCAATTTTTGTTATATTTAAATTATTTTATTATAAAATATTTTTTTCAATTTCTTTTATTTTATCCCATTGAAAGTTAAAAATACTTAATCGCCAAAAAATAAAAAATCTGATGTGGTCAGTTCATAACTTACTTACTATTTTAGTGAAAGTGTTACAGAACATTATGAAAAAGCGTTTCAAATACCGCATTCCATTTTTAAGCACGCTAGTAAGCATTTGGTTAACAACGTAAATTTGGCTCTTAGCAGAGTTTCGCTTTGTGCTATATGATTTCCTTGAAAAGTTAACCAGTTAGTTTCGGTAACAACCAGAACATAAATATTATGTTTCAAGAAATTCCATCAAAGTTTCAAATGTAGAAATGTTAAAAAATGTAAAATGGGCCCCCGAAAAAGGATGTAATTCCCCGAAATTGGTTCAACTTGAAACAGACACACCGACATTTCCCCAAAAACAGTTTCTTTACGCTTCACTACCATGGAAAAGTACGTTTCCACCGAAATTTCGAGATCCGAAATTTGATGCCATCACGTAACCTCCCTTATTGCATAAAATGCGGTAAGTAAAAACGAATTGAGGTGACCATATTCACTTTTTTTGACATTAATATCGTTTTTTTGTATGTTAATTTATTACTTTCAGATACTCTTAAAATATATTTTAACACTTGCAATTACATATATTTGGACTTGATATATGCACATGGTAGTGAATTATTGACAAAGGTGATATTGTTCTACAAAATAACTTCTTATTCCGGGAGACAAACGCAATTTCAACAAAAATGCATTTCTCCGTCACTAAGAAATGCCAATAAACTATTTTAAGCGAGATGTTGGTCAGTCCCCCTCGATTTAGGACTTATTCTTTGTACTTCTATCTCTTAGTTTTGGAATAAATTTAATGAAATTTTGTAACAATGTGAAAAACAAGAGCTATTATAAGTTATTTTCATAAAAATTAGCATTTTGTACTCTTTGGTTCTTGTGGAAATTAGGTTGCTCAAATCAATATACAAACAGAAAACTTTCTCATTCAACAATATTTTAGTTAAGATAAGAGTAAAATATTTACTTATAAAACAAAAATTTATTAGACTTATTTATATATCGTATGTACATTATTAAGTATAATATGTTCATTATAAAGTCTAACAAAACAAAAATTTTAAATTTAATTTCTTTTAAATACAATTAATTTGCCTTTCACAAAGCAGAATTGGTATTAAAATTTATATCGTCTTTGAAAACTTCTATCTCTCAAAACCAATTAGAGTTGCCTGTTCCCAATAATATTAAGATAAGATAAATTTACATTTAAATTGATATTTCACATATATTTGCAAAATTAGGAAAATTATGAACTTAATAACAAAACCTAATTTAGAATTAGTATTTATAATCCTCGTTGAGTTGAGTTGATCAATCCAAATTATGAATGAGTTTGTTTTATTTTATTTTATACATCAATATGTATTTGTATTGAATATGATAAACTTTCTGGGAAAGTTGTTTCCCTTTATTAAGAAAAAAACTTACATATATTCAAAATTATATTGTGTCCTAAAAAGGATAAACAAGGGGAAGAGTGAGCTGTGTCAACACGGGCAATACGGCGAAGCACCTGCTATGCGAGTGTGAGACTGTGGTCGGGCTAAGGATCGATTGCTTCGAACGGGGCTTTGTGACTCCTCAGAGGTCTTACTGAAGTATCTCAGTATAACATCCTGGGGTCAGTATAATGTATCTGGGGTTTTGGAATAGTGCTCATATAAATGGAAGGACAACCACAAAAAATCCTATGGATCGACGTGAGAAGAACCACCAGGCTATCGGTCCCTCTCTAAAACAAATAATTATTTTGTCAATTGATATAATTGACAGAAACTTGACATTTTATGCAATCCAACAACTTGTCACAGCTCATTTAAAATTTATGTAACATGGTTATTAAATTAACTATTTTCTTATCATTATTCAACTAATTTTCCGCTAAAAATTTTGAATTACCAAACACTTCCATATGAAACTTATTTCTGAAAAGATGGTGACCTTAAAGTATAATACATCCGTTCAGTGTTATTTAAAAACAAAAAAGAAAACAATTGTGATGGGGATCATCATTTGCCAATTATTCAATGTTACTTAACATTTAAATTTTAAATAATATAGAAAGAGCAGCAAAAAAAAAACTTTATATGTAAAAAGATTTGGTTTTTTATATGGGTATTTTTTTTTATCATTTAATGTCTTTTATTTTCCTCTTTAATTCTCTTGTTTAAAATTCTATACATTATTTAAAAGCGTATATGTAGCTGGATTATCGTGTTACTCAACCCAATTCAAATTGGTTTTATATAAGGATATTATATTAAAATTTATTTGGTTGCTTTATTCCCTTTCGGTCAATAGATCTTTAATGTACATATATAATTTTTTTTTTAGAAATTGTGCGGTTGTTTGTTTATATGTTATACGACTATAAATTGCAATGCAATTTCATAGAAATATGTACTTGTAGCAAAAGTTTATACGAATTTGAATTTTTCTATGAAAATTATAAAGAAAATACCATTGTTCAATATAAAATTTTTCGAATAAATGGTATACAAATTCAATATTTACTTTATTTCATAGAATTTTAATGGTATATACTTTCTCATAATATTTAATTATGGGAAAATTGAAGTAGAGTACACAAATTTAAATGAATTCGTAACAATATATAGGAAAAACCGACAGTTTGTTTGCTTAATTTAAAATCAGAATTGTTCTTGATTGACTTATATGAGTGTATGTAACCGTGTCTATTATAGAAATATTTTTTTTTGCAAAGACATACCATACCTTAAAAGTTGGTATATGCTTTCTCTATGTATTGGTTTATTTCAGATAAGATTTCAAAAACATGTTTTGCGAAATTTCAAAGTTGAAAATTTCTTAAAGATTTTTAAAATTCGATCCAAGGACTTTGAAAACTTAACGGCATCAATTAATTTCAATACTGAATCGAAATAAAATCAAAATAAATTAGAATGAAATAAGATCCAAATAATTAAAATCAATAATACAAGCATAATTTTGTAATTATACAAAAAACAACTGCCTACGCTGATTTCTGGAGGTCCTAATCATATTTCGAATTCAAATTCTCTAGACTAGAATATAACCCATATTTTTTCATATATTCATGTAAATGTGCTTCAATTTAGTCTGAAGTCATAATGGTAAAAAATATAAGACAACAATTTTTTCTGCAATTAAATCTCAAATTAGTTACATATATTTCTATTACAGAATTTCTATTAGTTACATATATGTGCGTTCACTCTGCTGCAATTTGAAATATTATGTACATTTAACTTAATTTAGTCGGATAAGATAAGAGAATTATGGAAAATTAATTTAGATTATGGTCTTTTGTATTAAACCATTTTAGAAGAACTTAAAGAGTAGAAGAAGTTTGTTAAACGTTTACTGCTTAAGAAAATTTTCAAAATGAAAATGTTGACTACTTCCAGTCATATTGTTTCCATAACTTTTAATTTAGATTTTTTTATTTTTAAACATAACCACAGCTCCATCGTTTCTATTTAAAAATAAAAGAATAATTGCGACTTACGAAACATTTTTTTTTGTTGAATAATTTTTTTATTTACTATTTATTTACAAACATAAGTAAATAATAAAAAATGCAATTTATATACAAATAAAAAACTTTTTTATTAAAAAAACTAAAAAAGCTGAATATGAAAAAAATAATCCAACATATAAAATTAAATTGTCCCTGCAGTAC